GGGCCCCGTCTGGAGCCGCGGATCGCCGGGCCCCGGTTCGGACCGGCCCCGGCGACTGATCATCCCGGCGACCCCGCGGGACGTCGGATATCGGCACGGACGGGTGGCAACTTTCGGCCTCAGGGCCGCCGGGCCTCGGCGCCGGACTCTCCTCAGTCGGATTGTCCTCCGGCGTACTGATATCATTGAAGTTACTCAGTTCAACGGTTAACTTTGTCGGACTCGGGAGTAAAGGCCCTGAGTTGGGCCAGGCGGGCCGGGCGGCCCGGGTGCCCCGCCGCTCAGGGCCTGCCATGAGTCGGAAGCCAGTGAGAAGCTGGGCCGTTTCCGTTGGCTCGAAGTGAGCTTTTGGAGGGAATCATCAGTATCCGGACGGACCGATGGCGCCATCCATGATGGCATAGTGACACTGCCGCGGGCGGAGAAAGCGAGGAGGGGTGAAGGTGCAGCCGGGAGGCTTTCAAGTTTCACTACTCAGATAGATGATGATGATGATGGTCGGTCGGGTTGACGGTCTCGCCGGAGAGCGAGTCTGTCCTTGAGTGTCAAATGAGCTCAGTCAATCACCGGGTGTGCATGAAGATGTTGGTAAGAAAAGTCAACCATGGCTTCCACTGTTGTAAGATGTTTGTTTACCTTTCAATGTGATCTCCCAGCTTTTGTTGTGTTTTGATTGAACCGGCGGCATCATGGTACAATGATAGATACTCAACTTGAAGTTGCCTGCTCGGGCTGTAACTGTGTTGGTTATGTGGATGGCATGAAGATTCATTCCATGCAGACAAGGTCCTGATTGTGTTTGTGCCAGGAGCAGGGCCGACCTCCATGGCTGGATGCCTGATGACCTTGTTTTAGACCGATTGAACTGTAATCTCAATGTTTTCAGAAGCCTCAGGTACTCAGATGCTCCTCCTTCTTCTTCCTTGTGTCCTTACCACCCGCCTTTCGTCTCCAGCCATCACCAGCCCTGAACACTCGTAGCGACCTTGGAGCTCGACGCACAAGAGCTGAGCACGAGACCAGCTGCGCTCGGCTCCGATGTCCTACAGGAAGAGTCAGATCGGCAAACTGCTGCGGCTCGACGTCGGCGACTGTGACTCTACCTCACCCATCAGAGTTTCAGCCTCTCAGTTCCTGACGAAGCTGACGGCCCCGAAGAGCGTCATCTTCATCCGGTGATGGGCATGCGGCGCAGAAATGCGCTCAACTGACGCGAACCACCGCAAGCCATGGTGAGGCAGAGCACAACAGCTTCGCTGATTGGGGCACCCGTGACCCCGTTCTCACCGAGAATGGTTGGAGTCAAGTGAGTCGTTAGGAGCTCTCCTTCCCTGCCCTGACAAAATCCTTTCACTCCTCCTCCACCCTCGTCTGCACCCCCTCCTCCTCCTCCTCTCCCTCCTCCACTCCCTCCTTCTCCTCCTCCTCCTTCTCCTCCTCCTCCTTCTCCTCCTCCTCCTCCTCTCCCTCCTCCTCTCCCTCTCCCTCCTCCTCCTCCTCTCTCCTTCTCCTCCTCTCCCTCCTTGCATGTTCATGCTCATTCTCATGCCAATCCTTCCTCTCTTTTCGTCGCCCCAACGTGCACGTCTGATATCTCACGTTTCTGCAGGCAAGAGGTCTGAGACATTTGGCGATCTTGAGAGATGCGCTTGGTTTCAACGGCAAAGACAAGGTGGTGCTGAACCTTTCTTGACGCATCCCCGACACGATTTCTCTTCAGAGAGCACAGCTCGTCGTTGTCTCGCCGCTGCGGAGGACACTGCAAACAGCGCAAGCGGTGTGGCTGTTGATGACACGCATGCAGCTCGAGTGAAACTCTACGTGGCAGTTGATGGAGATCATGAGGAGCATCCCTGACTTCCCCAGCGTGACTGCCATCGCTCATCCTGACCTACAAGAGATAAGCTCCGGGCCCTGCGACACCGGCCATCCGGCCCACCTGCTGTCTGCTCAGTTCCCTGAAGGTCAGGGTGGCCTTCTCTCCACCCGCTGGCTCCTCTTGATCTCGTTCCTTGCAGTTGACTTCAGCCTGCTGCCCGACGACTGGTACGACAAGCAGAGGAAGGGCAACTTCCTGTCCTCAGAGAGGTTTCCGCGCCCACAGCTCCTCCCCCGCGTCCTCTTGACTTTGCTCGCAGGATCCTGCGCTTCCTGCGTTGGGTCGTCAGTCGCCAGGAGGTGAAGATCATCTGCATCGGCCACCTCGAGTGCTTCCGAGACATGCTGGGGATCAAGCTGGGGCCTTGCGGGGCCGCCAACTTCACGCTGTCCAGCGCGGGTTGGGAGCAGGTGTCTCTGTCGCAGAGCAAGGAGGAGATCCGCTCGCGGCTGAGCCTGGAGCAGCGGGGGAGGCACTCCTTCGATCCTCGAAGCCCTTTCTTCTCCCCCTTCTCTCGCCCTCACTCCTACCTCTCCTCCAAGTCGAGCTCCACGACGGAGAGATCCGACAAGGAGGGATCGCTCAAGACAAACGGTGTGAACGGGGAGGGGAGCGCGTCAGAGCGGGAGGACTACGAGGCAACGGCGAAGAGAGTGAGGCAAGTGTTCAACAAACTGGCGGGCAGATGCCGACCGACGGCTGGCTCGGGTTGGTTTCGCAACGACTTCATCGAGGGGCTGCACTCGCTGGGGCTGGAGGGCATCTCAGTGGCGAGACTCGTGAATGAGATCGCGAATGACTGCAGATCGAGGTGAGACGAGCAGCCTTCCTCCTCTCAGCCTTCTCCTCCCAGCCTCCTCCTCCCAGCCTTTCTCCTCCCAGCCCTCTCCTCCCAGCCTTTCTCCTCCCAGCCCTCTCCTCCCAGCCCTCTCCTCCCAGCCCTCTCCTCCCAGCCCTCTCCTCCCAGCCCTCTCCTCCCAGCCTTCTCCTCCCAGCCTCCTCCCAGCCCTCTCCTCCCAGCCTTCTCCTCCCAGCCTTTCTCCTCCCAGCCCTCTCCTCCTAGCCTCCTCCTCCCAGCCCTCTCCTCCCAGCCCTCTCCTCCCAGCCCTCTCCTCCCAGCCTTTCTCCTCCCAGCCCTCTCCTCCCAGCCCTCTCCTCCCAGCCCTCTCCTCCCAGCCCTCTCCTCCCAGCCTTCTCCTCCCAGCCTTTCTCCTCCCAGCCCTCTCCTCCCAGCCTCCTCCCGTGCTCTTACAGCTCTTGGCAGGAAATCCTTGACGGAGCTGAACTCCATCACATGCGATGACTTGACCTCTGTCTTCATCAAGCCGCACTTCCACAAGCTTCTCAGCACCCTCGAGCTCAAGTTAGGTGACAGCAGGCCCGTCTCTTGCTTGCCGGTGAAGCACAAGCGCAGGAGTAGCAGCGCAGGAGCGCCTGCTGGGGGCTCGGACCGGCGCGTCCCTGGATCGCAGGATGGAGGTCGAAGACTTGAGGCCCTCAGACGGGTGGGAGGGGTCAAGGCTGCACCTCTCAAAGCGCCTCAGGTCTGCTGGAGCAGCCGATCCCTCCAACCTGACGCTCCTCACAGGCCCCACACCGCTCGCAACGTGGAGGAGGAGGAGGAGGCGGCGGAGGCGAACGGGGGTGCAGGGCACAAGAGGAAGGAGAGTGGAAAGCAGGCGCAGGCAGAGAAGTTCTCTCGCCCTGCCACTGCTGGTCAAACCTCAAGCGCAGACTTGTCTCGTCGACAAACCCGCACCCGATCTCCCCAGAAGACCAACCTTTCCTCCTCCTTGTCCTCCTCCATGGCCAGACGAGCTCTGAGCTACCAGGAGGCGAAGGCGAGCAAGTACGTTGACGAGACGGCTGTTCTCATGGATAAGACCATCACTGAGCTCTACAAGAGCTTGCACATCGTAGAGAACAAGCTTGAGAAGGTGATGAGGGAGAAGGTGAGGGAGGATCTTTCCATGCTCACTCTGACCGCAGACCGTGATGCTCCATCATGTGAAGAGTGAGGCTGCAAAGTTCCATCAGGAGGAGATGGTTCGAGAGCTGCAGACGGCTGTAGCAGACAAGGAGGCAGCAGAGAAGGAGCTGGAGAGGCTGCGGAAGAGTCTCCAAGAGGTAAGATAAGTGCATCCGATGTGCCAGCACTGACATGTCATCAAGAGGAACACGCCTCACCTGGACAGACATGTATATACGCATGGCAACACAAACCTGAGCAGTTTGCGGAGGAAGCTCAACATGAGAGAAGGGACTCTGACGCAGTGAGACTGGTTTACGATTCATTGATTACAAGTTGAGAGTTTTACATGTTGGTCACACCCTACGGGGGAGGCTGCGTGTCCATCAGGCTCCTTGTCTCCGCTGCTCTCTTCCTCCTCCTGCCCGAGAAATGACAGCAGCATCGAGATCGCTTCCCCTGGCCGGACCTTCAGGTGCACTGGGAGACAACGAGGTTCTCCAGGTCCTCTTTGAACGCTCCCGTTACCTCCTTCACCTTCTTCCCCCTCTTGTAGACTTGAAACGTCGGCATGGCCGTCACTCCAGCCTCCGCAGCCACAGCGTCCAGGTCGTCAACATCGACACTCACGAAGATGCCTCGGTGCTTCTTGTTGAGCTCCTCGAAGAACGGGGCCACCTGCTTGCAGGGCTTGCACCACCGCGCGGTGAAGTCGACGACGAGGGGCTCGCACATGTCCTTGGACTCCTGGGAGAGGGTGAGAGGAGGGGATGGAGCGGAGATGGACAAGAGCCAAGGGGGTGAGGGAGAGGAAGGGAGGGAGGAGGATGGTGGAGGGATGACAGACGAAGGGAAGAGGAGACTGAGGAAGAGACAAGCCGCAGAGGGGAGATGACTCAACCAAGATGAGAAGAGTAGCAGGGAGGATGAGAAGGAGAGCAAGATTGATACAGAGGGGAAGGAGAGTCCGAATCTGCAAAAGGGAAGGGGACAGAGAGAGGGAGAGGGAGAGGGGGGGGAGCGGAGAAGAGGAGGGGGGTTCATCTGACCTTGAGCAGGCGCTCCCAGTGTTCCGTGGACTCAACCTTGAGCACCTCAGGGTTCTTCTTCCGCTGCCGCAAACCTGTATCGTTCCCTCCGTCCTCCTCAGCTTTAACAGCCCCGTCCACATTCTTATCCTCGTCTCCTCCTTCGATCTTGTCCTTGCCTTCCTCCGCTCCAGGCTGGGGGTACCCGAACAGCCAACAGAAGACGGATCTTGCTTTTGCGAAGAGCAGGAAGAGGACTGGTAGAATGTGCCAGATGGGAAAGCAGATGGGTCCGAGACAGATGATCATGCTCCCTGCAGAGACTATGAGGAGAGTCAGGCCAGGTGGAGGAGGAGAGGGAAGAAACATCAGACAGAGGGAAACGATACCGGGGGAGGGAGGGGGGGGGGGGATGAGGGGTGACATGAAACGACGACGCGGAGCCGATGAGATATAAGTGAAGGAGCATGCGGGATAACCGCATCTTTCTGTCAAGCAATGCAACAAGTCAGACCGTGACTGTCCATAAGCATTGCAGATGTTCTGTACTAGTTCAACATGAGTTCAGGATCGGACTTTCCCTCAACGTCACATGAGCCTGTCTCTGATCACACCTCCTCCTAGCCTCTCTTATCCAATCTCACAGATATTTCCCCATTCTCCCCCAACCTCGCGCTCTCCTCCTCTTGGCTCGTCTCCTCTTCACTCCTCGCGCGCCTCGTTCTCGCTTGCATAGCTCATGGATCCCCGACGGGGTTGCTGCCTTTTCAATCACGTTGGACTCAAAGGCATTTTATGTTGGATGCCTTCTGTGTCAACAACAAGAGTCATCCGAGGCAGGGCTTGTTATTCTTCAAACAAGTGTGCTATGAAACAGAGCGGTCAC